CAGGTGCTCTGCTTGCCACTGCAGATGGGTTTTTAACCCCTTCAACAATCCTGTGAGTTAGATGTTACCTCTCAGTTTACAGATAAGAAGAACTTTTTTCCAGAGAGGTTTTCTGCATTTCAGGAGGTGGCGTGTCTTCCTGGATGCTGGAAGGGGGGCCTGACCCCACCGCCTGGGTTTTTTCTACTCTGACAGTGGAACATGCCAGCCCTGTTGATTGGGCACCTGCTATTGCCACACACAGCCTGGGAGGTGTGTGATGCACCTCCAGGTCCCTGAGAGCCTGTGGCCCAGCAGGTGTGTGCAGGAAACATGAGCTCACTTCCAGGGGGCTGGGCAGACACCAGACCAGTATGGGTACAGAGGGCCTCCTGGGGCCATCAGGAGTGTTCGTTCTAGACCGGGGTGTTTCATGGTAGGGGCCAGGAGACTGGCTGCCGTGAGGAGGACCAGGGGAAGGCTTCAGAGCTGTATAGCAGGGAGGGCATCGAATACCAAGCCCAGGGGTCGTCAGTGGGCACAGGGTGTCCTTCTACTTCTATACCATTCACCTCCAGAGTTGTTAATGAGATGTGCAGATGAGCTAGACTTCCCCCCTGAATTCCTGTGTGCTCCCCTGCAGAGTGTGTGTGTGTGTGAGAGACAGACAGACAGACAGACAGACAGACAGGGTCTCTCTGTCACCTAGGCTGGAGTGCAGTGGTGTAGTCACAGCTCACTGCAGCCTTGAACTCCTAGGCTCAAGTGATCCTCCCACCTCAGCATTCTGAGTAGCTGTTATTATAGGTACCTGTCACCATACCTGGCTAATTTTGAAAATGTTTTGTACAGACAGGGTCTTGCCATGTTACACAGGCTCTCCCTTGCATTTAAAATGTTGTAACCAGGCCTGGCACAGTGACTCATGCCTGTAATCACAGCACTTGGGGATGCCAAGGCAGGTGGACCACCTGAGGTCAGGAGTTTGAGACCAGCTGGGCATGGTAGTGCATGCCCATAATCCCAGCTACTTAGGAGGCTGAGGCAGGAGAATCGCTTGAACCCAGAAAACAGAGGTTGCAGTAAGCCAAGATCATGCCATTGCACTCCAGCCTGGGCAACAAGAGCAAAACTCCATCTTTAAAGAAATAAATAAAAATGCAAAAATTAGCTGGGCGTGATGGTGCATGCCCGTAATTGCAGCTACTTGGGAGACTGAAGCAGAAGAATCGCTTGAACCCAGGAGGCAGAGGTTGTAGTAAGCCAAGATCGCACCATTGCACTCCAGCGTGGGCAATAGAGTGACACTGTCTCAAAAACAAGCAAACAAACAAAAACGACTATAAAATGTGGTCACTGGGGCCCTGGCCAGTCTCCCTGGGGACCCAATTCAGCTTCCTGATCCTTTTGTTCGGATATGCCTGGGGCTCCCCTGTCCTGACCACTATCTGTCGTCTTGGGGATTTGGTTGTGGGTCTGCCCGAGGTCCTGGGCTTCTGGCTGGGGTGGTATTGCCTGTTGCCCTGAATCTCTCCTCAGGTAGGGATGGTGGGGTCCCTATGATGATGCTCCTGAACCTGCCATGGGAAGGCCAGAGTCTAGGGCCATGCCGGTGGGTCTTACCTCTTGAGCTGATCCCAGGAAGCCTCATGCAAACTCAAGATTAAGCATGAGTTTACTTCAGGCAATGGTGGTTTTTTTGTGAGGGCAAGTCATCTCATGTCAGGTTCCTGGGGCACCTTCCTGGATTTCTAAGGGTTGAATGAGCTCCTGGATAGATTGAGAAGACCTGAGGGGCCGGGCACAGTAGCTCGTGCCTATAATCCCAGCACTTTGGGAGGCCGAGGCAGGTAGATCACTTGAGGCCAGGAGTTCGAGACCAGCCTGGGCAACATGATAAAACCTTGTGTCTACTAAAAAGACAAAAAAATTAGCTGGGTGTGATGGTGTGTGCTTGTGATTCCGGCTGTTTTGGAGGCCAAGGCAGGAGGATCGCGTGAGTTCGGGAGGTTGAGGCTGCCTTGTGTTGTGATCGCACCGCTACACCCCAGCCTGGGCAATGGGAGTCAGACCTTGGCTCAAAAAAAAGAAAAGACCTGGGCAGCAGCATGACTTTGTCGCCTCATTCCTCTGCAGATAGGGTTCGGGGGAGATTCTCGAGCCTTTCCCCTGTGCAAGGGTCTTCTCATTTGGAGATTTTAAGAACGTGCTAATGAGAAAGTTCGCCTTGCATTTGTGAAGCTTGGAGAAGTCATCCTAAGGGAGCAACAGCATGCTTAATTTATTCTAATTCTGTCATATATAAATTATATGTAAATGTTAGGGTTCTTCTAAAAACACTTCTCCATCTTTGGAAAAATGGAATGTTCAAAAAGAGAAGTATCTTTCCCCTCTTCTTGGCCGGGTGCGGTGGCTTACGCCTATAATCCCAGCACTTTGGGTGGCCAAGGTGGGCAGATCACAAGATCAGGAGTTCAAGACGCAGCCTGACCAACATGGTAAAACCCCATCTCTCTTAAAAATGCAAAAATTAGCCAGGTGTGGTGGTATGCGCCTGTAATCGCAGCTACTCAAGAAGCTGAGGCAGGAGAATTGCTTGAACCTAGGAGGTGGAGGTTACACTGAGCCAAGATTATGCCACTGTACTCCAGCCTGGGTGACAGAGCAAGACTCTGTCTCAAAATCTATATTTCTTCTGGTTGCATCCTATGAGGCCAGTTTTGAGCTGTTCGGTAAACAGATCCTTTCTTTCCCCACTTGTAGCCTCCCAGGCTCCCTGGAAGCCACATCCTCCGGACCCCCATGCCACTCTCAGGGGCGTCTAGACAGCTCGGGATAAAGTTTTTTTTTTTTTTTTAATGCCTTCACCATTCAGCCAGTATTCCCTGAATGCCCGCTCTGTCCTGGCTGTCCCGGTGCCCGCACTGAGAGAGCCATGCCCAGACAGAGCCTACCAAGGAGGCCGTCTCTGAGCTGAGTGCTGATCCATGACTGGGGTTTCTTTCTTCCCCATCATGGGTCTCGGCACGGCTGAGGTTTTGCTTTGCTGTCCGCATTTGTGGAGATTTTTGTAATGGAAAATTTCAAACATGGGCCGGAGTAGAGAGACTGCTATCCTGAACCCCATACCCCTCATCACCCAGCATCAAGTTATTCATTCATCTCTTCAACACGCACGGGACATCTTCTTTTCTGGAAGGACTGATGGACTTAGAAATAACATCACAGTCCTGGAAAAGGGTCAGACTTGAACCAACCCTTGAACCAGGGCACTTTCACTTTTATCTTTTGGCTCTTTTTTTTTTTTTTTTTTTTTGCGGGGCAGGGGAGCATTCTGTGTAAGATTTAACTCCACTGCTTCTGGCAAACAGTGGGAATGGATCAGGGTCGGCACCCAGGATGTTTCTGCCATGGTTGCCAAGTGGTAGACATGAAACGTGGCTTTATCCACTATGCTTTGTGTGTTCAGGATGGGACCTCTGTTTTCTTCCTGGAAAGGTGGGTTTGGTGCATCCATGAGGGGTATGAGTTTTCTTGGTGGCACTGAGCCCTGTTTCAGTCCTGCCAGATGAAATAGCTCTGCTTAGACAAAGCAGAAAAATGGGACTGTTTTTCTCTTCTTTACGCCAGTGGCCAAGTATTGAGATACAGGAGCCCTCATGCGGATGATGTTTTTCTCTTGGTGTAACCATTCGCCCTGCCTGTCTCATTCACCCAGGCTGGAGTGTGGTGGCGTATTCATAGCTCACTGCACCTCGAACTCCTCAGGCGATCCTCCTTCCTCAGCCTCCTGAGTAGCTGGGACCACAGATGTATGCCACCACACTCAGCTAATTTTTATTTTATTTTATTTTTATTATTTTTTTCAAGACAGAGTCTCTCTTTGTCACCCAGGCTGGAGTGCAGTGGCACGACCTCTGCTCACTGCAGCCTCTGCCTCCTGGGTTCAAGCGATTCTCATATTTTCTTTTTTAGAGCTGAGGTCTCACTGTGCTGCCCAGGTTGATCTCAAACCCCTCCTGGGCTCAAGCAGTCTTCCCACCTAGCCTCCCAAAGCTCTGGGATTACAGGCAGGAGTCACTGTGCCCGGCCTCTTTTATGACACAAAGCAGGGAGTCCCTGACCTTCCTGAGTCTTGTAGTCAGGAAAAGCTAACAGGGTTCTTCCCTAATGGCCCTGTGGAGGTGTTATTCAGATGCCACATGGTTCACCTGTTGTAAATGTGATCCTGATGATTGGCGCACACATGTTCAGGCAGCCATGTACACTGTCCTGGAATTCATTTCTTCTCCCTACCTCAGCATACTCTGCAGGTGTGGACTGGGGGAAGGCCACATTCTTCCAAGTTCCCTAAGTGCCGATGGTGACACAGGCAGGTGCCAACACGGAGTTTTGTTGGGCGAGCAGCTCATGAGCTGAATTATGCGATGATTGGATAACGTGCATGGACTCATCTCATTAAAGTGGCACGGTTTTGGATTTCTTTGCTTTAGTTTTGTTTTTATTTATGTTTTTATATATTTCAGCCTGGTCAGTCTAATCGCAAGTGGCGCAGTTTTGGAAGGCACCTAGGGAAGGCTGCCTGGTTGGAGCTTAGAATTCTATCTCCGAGACGGAGGTGAGGTTATCAGAGGCAGTGTGTGCCGACTGTCCAAAGCCAGTACCAAGGCCATGTGTCTGCCACAGACACATCTTTTCCCACCAGCTTTAAAACGAGACCAGTTTGCTTGATGTTAATTGAGTGCCTGCTCTGTGCCTGGCACTGTGCTGGGCACTTTCCACGCATTTACTTATTGACTGCTGCATAGAACCCTGTGGAATGGGGATTATCATGCCCATTTTACAGATGGAAAAACCAATGTTAAAAAAAGTCGAATGCCTTGCCCAGGGCCACACAGCAAGAAGTCAAGCTGGATGCAGACCCAGGCAGTCTGGGCTCTGAACTGTGCTGCCCACATGGCCTCTGAGTGGGAACAGACTCCTGATCTGGGGGGTAGGGGGGATGCTGGGATTTAAGTTCTGGGAGGGGTCGGCCCAGGTTGCTCGGGAGAAATTTCTGATGGAGAGAAGCCTTAGCCAGGCAAAGGAGAGGGCATGGGAGGGTGCCCAGGGGAGGGAGGGAGTGAGCTCAGGCGGAAAGATGAGATTGAACATTCTCAGGAAGCTGTGGCAGGGGCCAAGGCCTGGCCAGTCCAGCCTGCCTGCTGTGCTTCAGAGGCTGGCCTGCAGCAGGTGCTCAGTGAAGGCTGAATGAACGGAGGAGTGTTATTGGAGAGGCAAGATGGCTGGAGATCTCGAATCTTGTGCTTTTCACTATAGGAGCAAACAAGACAACTGGCTGGGCATGGTGGCCCACACCTGTAATCCCAGCATTTTGCGAGGCTGAGGTAGGCGGATCACTTGAGGTCAGGAGTTTGAGACCAGCCTGGCCAACATGGTGAAATCCAGTTTCCACTAAAAATACAAAAATTAGCCAGGTATGGTGGCAGGCACCTGTATGTAATTCCAGCTACTTGGGAGGCTAAAGTAGGAGAATCGCTTGAACTAGGTGGTGGGGCCATTGCAGGGGTGAAGGTGCAGTGAGCTGAGATCGCAACACTGCACTCCAGCCTGGGTGATAGGGTGAAACTCCATCTCAAAAAAAAAGTGAACAAGACAACTGGAAAATGCCTCCAAATGCCCACCTGACATTTTCAGTGTCTCTGCTGGGCTGGGAGTAGATGTGGCCACTGAATCCTTCCTCCCTCCCACCCCCAAATATGCAAGGCAGCTGCCTGGCTGGGAAAGCTGGAGGGCTTCCTGTTCTGTGAGCAGCTGTCCTGGTACCTTCCTTATGGGAAAACGGGCACCGGGCTGCCCGCTTGTGAGCATCTAGACCCTGACTGCCCACTGGCTGAAATCCACACAATGAGGCCGTCTGGTTCATCACCAAATGGAGAGAGAGGCAGGTCAGCGAAAGGGAGAGCAGGACCCCAGATATTTGCCTCTGCTCTTTATCTAGTAAATCACACAAAGAATTGCAGAAAGTGACAGTCTCATCCCTGAGTTTCCCTTGGCCAGACTGGGGCATAGGTCTTCTTACACTGTCTTGTTTTTCTCCGGGAAAAATGAGCCTTAAGTGTCAGACTTGAATTACCTTCCCCAGGGACACTTCCTGTGGCTATTTCTAGTGGCAAGTGGCTGAGGTTGTGCCCCTAAATAAAATTAGGGTTTTAAACTGGGTCATAAACTCAGGTGCCCCCAGGGGTCGGGAAGGAGGCACAAATGGGGGAAGCAGCCAGTGGGAGGCTACAGGGCAGGGAGAGGACTTCGGCAAAGGAGAACAGCGTGTCCTGCACGCGGAGTGACCTTTCTTACCTGGGGGACTAGAGCCCTTGGCACTGTAGTATCCCTTTTGAAGCCAAGAATCCAGACTTTTAAAAATGCTGGCATAATTCAGTGGGTTTTTTGTTTGTTTTTAAAGACACAGCATTGCACTGATTTAAAATAAAACATCTGTGGGATGAATGTCCGCTCTCTGTAGAGATGAGGAGGGCGAGGCTGAGCAGCACAGTGGGGGTCACTGAGTCAGTGGGGCTGGGACGAGAGCTCTACCTGCCGGCACCCGGCCTGGCCCTCTGTCCGACTCCTTATGCCGTATTCCAGGCAAAGCAGTGGGCCTAGGAACCAACACAGCAGACTCCACAGTAACAAGAGACCCCGTATTGGCTTCAAGGGACATGGCCCCATGCCAGTCTTGCCCACCTACCTCAGCTCTCCCACAGGAGGGCATCTCAGCAGCAGCCAGGGCTTGGTGGCTGCCTTTTGGGTGCCAGGTACAAAGCACCTTGTGTCATGTGTTGGAGTCCTTACAACACCACACACACATACCTGGTGGCTTCTGTTCTCCCCATTTCACAGATGAGCAAACCGAGACCTGGAGAGGTTCGAGTCACATGAGGGGGTGAGAGTTGAATGTGAACGTGACTCCAGAGCCACGGTTTCTAACCAGCGAGTGATTCACACTTGGAGGCCCAGGTGAGATGTGCATGGCACCATCAACCTGATGCCAGTGACCTTGCCCTCCATCCGTGGGATGCAGCCTCATTTTGACCCTCTACCAGGGCGTCACGTGCAGCAAAGAACACTAAGTGGGGAGTCGGTGGGGGCGTCAGGAGCACAGGCAGCCACCTCCAGAGGGACCGCGCAGCTCACAAGGTTGCTGACTAATTCTCTTTGCAAACGGTTCAGTTTCACATGCTTGAGTTTCCAGTAACTACGTGGGTGGATTTGTTTCGTTTAAGGGGAAAACAAAACAAAACAAAACATGGAGTTTTCTTTCCCAAGAAGAAGGCTTGCCAATTATGGGTTTCACGCGTGCGGCTCCAGGCATCCTGGTTTAGTTCTGCAGCCAGCCGGGCCTCTTGGCAGATGGGTTTGGAGGTGGAAATCGCTTAGTCATTTGCAAGCCCGGACCAGGTGCCCAAGGTCAGGGAGGTGGTGGGGCCACAGTGGCATGGGGATCCCTGGGTCCTGCTGCAGGAACCACGGTGGTCCTGTGCTCTTCCTGACTCAACCCTGCCCTGTGCTGGCAGGGGGCTGAGACCTGGGCGAAGAAGAAGGTTCCAGGTCAGATAGGCCATGCTCCCTGCCGGCTAGTCGCCTGCTTCGGGTGAGTTGGAGATGGGGGTGTCCCTTGGCATATGCCAGATTGTGCTAAGGAAAGGGTGAGGGACAGCATCTGGGGGACAAGGGCAGGGTGTGTTTGTACATGTATTTATGTGTGTGTGTGTGTGTGTGTGTGTGTCCCCAAACAGGCTCAACCAGGGGATACTAGCACTCACCAAGCAGAGCAGACTTTGGTGGGCATGTAGGGCAGGGTCCTAGGGGGCCACTGCTGTGCCAGGCATCACCCCTTGAGGTGCTGGATGGTGAGGGGTTGGGAATGATCGAAGTGGGTTGGGGGGCTGCCATTTACAAAAGGCTGGAGCATTTTGCTGCCTTAGGGCCCACCTGTTCTTGCCACCTTGGGATACAGGTGCAGGCAGCCGGCCATGACTCCTGGATTCCAGTGGAGCAGTGCAGGGCTTTTTCAGCACTGTGGCTGCTTCTCCAGAGGAGACCGACTCGGAATCGGCATTGGGTCTGGGTCTGTGGGCCGAAGCAGCTTCTAGCCCAGCTTGGGAGGTGGCTGGCCTTCTGCCTCAGTACTGCCGGCTCCCATGTCCTGGCCGGGCCATGTGACCTCTCTGAGCTTCAGTCTCCGTCTGCGAAATGGGGGTGTGAGGGCCCCGGGGGGAGGGAGCTGCCTCATGCTCTCCTGATCGCGCTGGTCTCAGAGATGCCAGGCCTGTGGTGGGGCCAGGCCTTACCTCCGATGTTCCTTTCTGCTTCTAAGTGGAAACACACCATGGAATTGAGAATCCTTAACCTGACCTGTGAGGGTGTGTTTCATGTGCTTTCTGGAAGGAGAGACAGAACTATCACATAATATATCCTACTAGGCAGAGGGTGGTAAAGGTGATTAGAGACCAGCAAGGTTCTGGCCTTGGGGATCAGGGTTTACTCTCAGCACGTGAATCTGGGAAGACTTCCTGGAGGAAGTGATGCTGAAATTGGGCCTTAGGATGTGTGAGCACTGGAGAGGGAGGAAGAGGGGAAGAAAGGGAGGAATGTCACCGGTGGAAGGTGGCATGCATGTGCAAAGCCACCCAGAGCTTTGATGATACCTGGAATATAGTAAGTGCCTGATAAAAGTCATCACCAAAGTCAATCTGACTCTAGGATTTGGGTTAGGTTTCTGGCAGAAGGGATGTGTGGGGGTGTGATAGCGAATTTCAGCCCACCAGGCAAGAACGGACAGGTTTATTTGTTTGTTTGTTTGTTTTTGAGACAGGGTCTTGCTTTGTCACCCAAGCTGGGGACAAAGATCACTGCAGCTTCTGCCTCCCAGGCTCAGAGATCATCAGACCTTAGCCTCTTGAGCAGCTGGGACCCCAGGGGTACACTATCACACCCAGCTAATTGGTTTTTTTTGTATTTTTTGTAGAGATGGGGTTTTGCCATGTTGCCAGGCTGCTCTCAAACTCCTAAGCTTAAGCAATCCACCCTCCTTGGCCTCCCAAAGTGCTGGGATTATAGGTATGAGTCACTGTGCCTGGCGAGAAAAGACAGTTTCAGAGCCTTATGTAGGTGATTTCTGGTGGCGAGGGAACCGATCATTTTTTTTTGAGCCCCTGCAGATTGGCTGGTCGCTTCAGTGGGAGTGTCTTGCTTCCTTGGCCTTCCATTCACTTGGCAAGTTTGTTAGGTGCTGTTGTGTGCCAGGCTCGGCCCGAGCATCTGTGGAGCCAGAGGAAGCTGGGTGGACAGAACCAGGTGGGGAGAGGATGCAGCTTCCCTCATTCCCCCTTCTGGACAGGTCGGGGAAACTCGGTGACTGTTCTGGGAAGCTGCAGCTTGAGGAGAGATGACGTTTCCTGTGGCCCAGTGAGGGCGGGGCCCTGGGGTCTGGGCTGACAGCAAGCAGTGGTGGAAGGTGGGCGTGGGCACCCGGAGGCCTGTGATGCCCCCAGATCCTCCACCAGGGACGTAGCCGGCAGCAGAGCAGTGACAGGTCCCCTGCCGCTTGGGTCTCTGCCCACCCACGCCTCCCTTGCTAGTCGTTCTCTCTGGCCTCTACCTCCTTGCTCTTTCTTGGCAGACACTGTAGAACCCTGCCTGAGGCACAGCATCCGGGCTGCCTTGGGGACAGACAGAATGGGGACAGCATCCTGTCCTATGGCCCATGGAGCCACCCTGCCATGTTCTTCTTTGTCCCCAAGGCCACCCTCCTTCCTCCACGCCCAGGTTTCTAGCATCCAGGGAAGACCTGAGTTTGGAGTCTGGCTTCCGACATGGATCCTGGACAAATTACTCAGCCTCTTTGCACCTCAGTTTCCACCTATGAGAGTGAGAGTGAGCCATCTGTAAGAATGGGCGTGAGAATTACCTTGCAGAATCATGCAGGTTGGACCAAAGCCAGACTGTGGCTGGTGCCTCAAGGCAGCTGTTTCCACCATTCAGAGGATTGTTCTGTTGTCTGTTCAACAATTCAGGCAGCTCACTCAGATCAGGGCCTCTGCCACTGATATAAATTCAAAATCCCCCACGAGGAAACAAAAACATGCAGCCACCCTCCAGGCACCTTCAAAATGAAGGCTCTGGACACACAGCAGGAGGAGTCCCTATCCCCAAGGACTGACTCCATATAGTGGGGAACTATGAGCCATGAGCTGGTGAATGTATTACAGGGTGACAAAGGAAGAGCCTAGCCTGGGGTGTGCAGTGAGTCCTAAAGATGAGGTAGGGCCGGGTACGGTGGCTCACACCTGTAATCCCAGCACTTTGAGAGGTTGAGGCTAGAGGATCACCTGAGGTCAGGAGTTCAAGACCAGCCTGGGCAACATGGCAAAACCCTGTCTCTACTAAAAATACAAAAAATTAGCCAGGCCTGGTGGCATGCACCTGTAATCCCAGCCACTCGGGAGGCTGAGGTGGGAGAATTGCTTGAACCTGGGAGGAGGCGGAGGTTGCAGGGAGCTGAGATCGCACCACTGCACTCCAGCCTGGGTGACAGAGTGAGACTCTGTCTCACACACAAAAAAACCACAACAACAAAAGAAGAGGTAGGACCTGGGAGGTGAAGGGGGCCAGGGGGTGGCACAGGGAGGGCACCAAGACAGGCAGAGTTGTGGTCTGCGGGTCAGTCTGTGGACATGTGCACCACCTTGGCCGTGCCATGTTGCTCACTGAGGCGGGGAACACACCCAGCCCAGCTCAGGTCAGGTGCTTTGCTCCCCTTCTTCCTTCTTCTCCCTCCTACCTCCTCCCCCCTCAAAGTACAGGGGTGGGAGGAGAGGCCCCCAGGCCCTGCTGTCCCCATGCCCTCCTTGTGGGACTCCTGGGCCGCTGCTCCCCCTGAAGTCAAGTGGAAGAGATGAGGAGCGCTTGGGTCTGGCTCTCCGGCCTTATGCATGCCGTGTCTCTTGGTTGCTGATGTTCCTTTCTGGCTGATGCAGAGGATGCCGCAGGAGGCTAAGCCTGCCGTCTGGCCTGTCCGGCCCGTCCAGATCTGCAATGCGCGGAGCAGCCCCCAAAGGTCTGCTGCAGTGAGGGGAGGGCACTGCAGGGAGTTGGCCTGGGGTGGTGGTGTGACTGGTTCCATGAGCCTTTGAGTGAGCGCTCACATCCACACCTACTGTTCCTGTGGCCACTGGAGCTGCTGGCCCAGCCACCCTCTACCTGGCCCAGGTGAGAAGCAGCTTCCCTACCTGTTGTGGCCCCAAGCATCCAGCTCCAGACTTCCTGGGAGGACCATGGCTGGCCGCTGAGCTGACCACCCACAGGCATGGTCCCTGGGGTCAGAGGCAGGACCTTTGACTTCTCAGAGGGGTGGAGGGGAGTCTGTGCTTTGAACCCACTGGGCCAGGTGACTCCTGCTGTGTGTGCAGCCAGACTCACCTGCTCAGGGCTGCCTGCCAGGGACCCCAGGTGTCTAAGCGTCTGCTTCTTACCGGCCCCACCCTCCGCTATAGTTTCTTTTGCCTTCCTCCTAAATTTGCATGGCAGAAACTTCCTTCTACAAATATTTGTGGAGCGCCCACTGTGTGCCAAGCATTGTTCTAGGCGGGGGTTGTTCAAGACAGACTGCAGGGCGGTCAGCAGCCATGACTGCGTCTTGGACCAGGACTGCCCTCTGTGTCTGTGTCACCTCCTCCACCCCAGCCAGATGGCTTAAAGCTCCAGGGGGCTTTGCCTCCTTTCACCTTTCCTCCCCCTGCCCTGCCCCAGGCCTCCTTTCACCTTTCCTCCCCCTGCCCTGCCCCAGGTGTGTGCAGATGTGGGGTGACCCCACTGCCCCATTTGATTGGGAACCCCCCACCCCCGATGGCCAGGAGAAGCCCTTTCTCTTGGCATTCCACAGCACGCTGCTCCTGCGATGTTTTTTATACAGTAGTCTTGCTCCTCGCCTCTAACCTATTCCTGGATACACAGAG